CGTTTTGGGGCGACAATCCGGGAAATTTTAATGAGCTGTTACTTTTGCCATATTTCATGTCAGCGTAGTTCCAGGATTTGGACAGACGCAGCAACAGAGCTAGACTTCGATAGCTATGTACAGTGCACCAACCTACAGACGTCGCTCACAGGCAAGCTTTGGCTTGACAAAGAAATGGCTATTAATGCACCAAAGATTCGAAAAGGTTTTAATGCAAGGTTTTGTTTTATGCGGAAAATCCTCTCCTCATCCTTCTGCCAGCTCCCATTTTGGATTAACTCCAAAATGGCCTCATTAGAACACTTATTTTGCATCGTTAAACGAGATGCAGCAGAAGCTCAACGCACGAAGTAAGGAAATGGGTTTGAAAATCAACGCATCGAAAACGAAACGTTGCAAATTGAGAATACACCTACGGCAAGATTACAGATAGACAATGCTGACTTGGAGCAGTTACTAAAACTCGACCCGATCCGGCCACTCAATATGCCCTCGTTGTTGGGTTTGTGTGCGAATAGCAAAGATCGTTGTATCATGTTCTTCGTTTAGATGAGGTTTAAGAACTCGCATTCAAGAGTGCTAACTTCTCAGCATCAGTTTCCTTGCTTGCCAGAAAAAAACCCTCTATACTTCCATCCCCATAGCCCCTACTCTTGCTTCTAATCCTTACCTTCAAGCAAGGTCTCAGGTCATTATTCTTGTTTCCTTCTCCCCTTAACTCCCCCGGTATTAAATTACTATTCCCTTCCCCGGCCCCTTCCTCCCTCCTTTACCCTTACCCCGTATACTTTCCCGTTGGGCCAAGTTTTAGTAACTACCTGACTTGGAAGTAGTCGTTTATCTTTACCAGAATGTAAATATGCGTCACAGATTGTGTTGCTGTTTGGTGTAAAATTTGCAGCATTTTGTTGAAGTCCTCAAATCTTTGAATTAGAAGAATCGCACTTACCTTTTCAATACCGCTATGCTAAAGGCAGTAACATACAGATGCAAAACTTGGTCAATGACGACAGTAAACTCTAGCTGTAACGAAGAGATCGATGGAAAAAAAAATCAAGGAAAAAAACTGATCATATAAGCAATAAGTCTTTTTATCAGATGGACGGCGAAGGGGGGATGTCATTACGATCACACGAGAAAGCCTCGTTAACAACTGTTGCACACCACATTACTCACTTGTTCCGGCGAGAAACAAGTAGTCACTTGGGTGGCTTCCGAAGAGATTATGCCACACTAATCCAACGTGGAGTGGGTATTAACTGAAAAGATATGCAACCCAAACCGGAAGAGGAAGGCACAGTTGCTCAGGCACCTGGAAACATCCTTATAACGTCCCTAACACAACACTGTATTTCTACGTCGATATTCAGGCGTTATTTCTGGTAATGTGGGCTATCTGCCCTGACCTCTATTGTATATCAAGGTTACCAATGACCTTGAAGTATCAGGAATCAAGTAGTGTCTAAATTTTGCTCCCTCTTGAATGAGGATCAGTTCGACCCTCCTGATCGATAAGTATGCCCGAAACATAGGTACCTCCTTCAACCGCTGAAACAGAATCCAACGAAAGCTTTGCTTCAGCACTGGAACTTTGTTCCAGCACTTTCTCCAGGCAACGAGAGAACGAATCATAAGTCATATTTAGCTGTTTTGGTAGTTTGATAGGCCATTCGTGCTCTGCTGCTGGCGCCTTTTCTAGCTATTTTGACCAGTGCTGCATCGGGTGATGGTCAGTCTGCTGGCTACTCTAGCTCTAGTCTTGTCTGAAAGTCAATATATGCGCTTCGAATTTACTTTAAACCATATTTATTATTCGTTTTGGCCGGCAAGGTGTAGTGAGAAGTAGCACCGCTCTTGGGCAACAGGTCGAGGGTTCGATTTCATCAGTGGGACAGTTCGCTTATGAGGTAGCTTGAGGATTCGACTCCATCAGTGAGATCACCAGTCCCTCTACAATTCAAAAATTTTATTCGTTTCGAAAATGGTAAATTAGTACAGGCATACGCCATGGAGTGGAGTCCTCTGTCAATTTGCTTGTAAGCAACCTTTGAAAGAGAAAGCCATCGACAGTCGTGCCAGCGCGTGATTGCTATTGGCATTTGTTAACATTCGGGTCATTTTCCGAGTGTCCCCACCTCCCAAAGAGACCGAGTATCGTAGAGGGCTTTCTTTGACTTTTATTCGTTCCGATGCAGGATAGCTGTACCGAACATATCGGTGAAAAAGCCAAATCGCCAATCAACTTGCTTGTAAACAACCAATAAAAGAAAGAGAGAGCCATCGACACCGTATCTGTCCGGTAGTTGCTGCGGGTAGTTGTTACCGTTCGGGCGATCTCACCGCCAGTGTCTCCGCCTCTCAACGCAAGCGGACTGTGCAGGAGGCTTTGTTTTCGCTTTTTTTTTTGCTTTTTAAACCTAAAATTTCCAATATTCATTCATAAAATTTCGTATGCCTGTATTGCGCAATATTTACATGGATATGGTGACGTCATCTTCGAGAATTTTCCACGAAATTCTTTTCGTCAGCTAGTAAAGGAAAAGAGCTAGGTTGAGATGGGTGAAGAGGGATGAGTGTCATACTGTAGGTATCGATTTCGTAGCTGAGTGTGTTGAGCCCAGTGGTCAGCGTCACTGACCCATCCAGGTCAACCCGCAACCACTAGAGACCATGGCAAATTATTGATTGCGGCCTGACTTGTTCGTTTGGGCATGGAATAGTGGCAAGAAACGTTTTGCATCAGCATGAAAATTGATGTTTCATTGTTTCTTTCAGTTCATTCTATGCCTGGTTCATTCGTCTGAATGGTAAATTTGGCGTCGACGCATGCTGAGGGTCGGGGGAAGTCAAACCCGCCATCAACTTGCTTCCAAGGAAACCCTTTTTAGAAGTCAGACCCACTATCGACTTGCTTCTAGGAAATCCTGTTTGAGAATCCGCCACCAGCTTGTCTCTAAGAATCTCTATCAGCCATCAACTTGCTTCTAAGGAAACCCTTTTTAAAAGTCAGATTCACGATCAACTTGCTTCTAAGGAATCCCTTTTGGGAATCAAACTCACCGTCGCTTGCTTCTGAACAACTCTCTTTAGAAGTCAAACTCGCCATCAGCTTGCTTCTAAGAAATTCTATTTGGCAGTCAAACCAGCCATCAGCTTGTTTCTGAGCAACTTCCTTTAGGGGTCAAATCCGCCATCAGCTTGGTTCTAAGTAGCTTTCTATAGAAGTCAAAACTGCCATCAGCTTGCTTCTAAGGAACTGCCGGAAGAGTAAGACATCGACATCCTTGCCATCGGATTGTTACTGTTAGCACATGCTATCACACGGGCTATTTCTGAGCACTTCTGCCTCTCACGGAAGAGGAAATGAAATGATGGATAGGGTTATGCCAATTATTAGTGAGTGACGGATACAGGAAAGAGATAATCCCCGAATAGCTTCTCGGAAATAGCTATGCTTGAATGGTAGAAAGGGCTACTGATGAAATGGGACGAATAGCTCAAAGAAGGAAGATTTCTTGTAATTGAATTTGGCAGCCTGACATCTGAGCACCTCGGTAAATTCGTGGTGTTGCTAGGAATTCCGCATTTATCTACAGTAACCCCATGGGCCAGCATTACATGTTTATTTTGGGGCTCTATCTTTATAAACACTGGTAACCCGCGGTTAGCTTTCTTGGCAACTTCACTGTATTGCTGGAAATTTCGAGTTGATTTATCCACGGAAGTCCTAGGGGTCCTGCATTAAGAGTCCGCAGTGGTCCTGGAAACCCTACAGTGAGTGACAGCAGTAATCTGCGGTTGCCCTACTTGTAGTCCGCGATGCTTTCAGGAGTTTTTACGGATAATCCGTGATGATAATGGGATTTCTGCGCTGATAATTCACTCTGGTCACTGGGTGATTTCGTGACAATTATACCTAGAAGAGCTGTTGTTAACGCGCAGCAGCAAATTGTAATATTTTCAGTGTCGTCCGCTGGGTCAGCCGAAACAACCGAAGGACAAATCTATGGAGGAAGAAGAGTACCAGTGTGCGTCAGCAGCTGGTAAGTGATTTGGAAATAAACAAAAGTATGAAACTGTTATTAGTGAGAAGCGTAATGAGAAAAGAAGAAATGCACTGGAGATGAATGGACGAAAAAGGATTGTGAAGCTACGAACATTTGGCAAGAGATCGGTTGCCATTTTTCAGCGGCATGCAAGAAGGAACCACATGGGAGTAGCAAAACCCAAGAAAATGTTTTAGCTTTGTTCTCTTTTTTCGCTTCTTCCTCATCTTTATCGCCGGATTCACTCATCTTAATTGAGGCTATCTTCTCCTTACCACTTAGATCACATATCCTTATCACTGAGTTCAAGCGTACTCAATGGCTTATGTGTTACCATGGAAGTAACGTTCTTTCAAAATTCATCTTGCTGAATCATCGTGATTTCGCTAATGGCATTATAAAATTCGCAATCGAAAAATCAAGATCAAAAGGCAAAGCCAGAAGACCTTCAGAATGATGAGGGATGGAGATTTTCCTGTCTTAGCCAACTCGGAGATTTGTCCGTCTCAATAATTATCGTGAAATGAATATGGCTTTTTGTAAAAATATCACAACGAGGATTCGATCTGCATGGGATTACTA